GCACGAAGTCTTCGCAGAGCTGAGAGATGCCACTTACACGTTGGCGCGTGCGGCTGTTGGGCGGGAAGTCTACTGCATTTGTTGTCGGGCCTTTCAAAAGCGGCTCCGCCCAACGCCCGTCTGCCGGCACCAACGACGGCCAGCAACAGTATACAGTTCAAAATCTGGTTGAGGCACAAGATTCCCTGTATTTCAAGGTACTGGGCGCTGACATCCGCAGGGGAACTCGGCTTCGTCAGCGATGTTATGAAACGCTCAGCTTCCTGCAAATATATAACGCATATATGCATATATGCATAGATACATATATATATATATATATATATTCCCATACTGGACCCTGGCACCGCCCTGCGGTGGTTCCATTTTTCGCCAAGCAAAGGCAGAATTGAAAAGGGCGCTTGGGCGACTTCGCCCAGCACCGCGGCCTTGTGAGGCGATGTTTTTTACCACTTAGACGCCAGTGCCGTCAACTGTATGTGAGCTGTCCGTTGCCAGTCGCACTTCCTCCATTGTCAGACGCAGGGAAAAGCAATGCCGTCCCTATCCGCACCTCATGCTTGGCAATAGCCTGCTAGCAGCCTGGCGCGGCACACTTGGCGCGTCCAGCCCTCGCACACCCTAAACGCAGCCTAGGCAGTTTATTCACGGCAAATACCCCCGCGGAAAGCCGAAGGCGAGAGTGTGGAAAGGATGTCAAGTAGAGAGATGTAGAGCAAAAGAAACAAAGTTGGGGGCAGGTCGCCGGTAATGGGCTTCATGCAGACGTGTATCCGCCCCATACAAGTATACACACGCGAGCAGGCAATCGTAGGTAAACACGCTGTGCGAGAAATGTGGGCGGCGGCAACACGCACAAAAGCCGTCAGAGGGGGGCCAACGAAGGGCGGTGCAAGACCGAAGGGAAGGGAATAAGGGACCAAAGAGAAAGTCCCACCGATGAAGCGAAAAAAAAAAAAACGGCGCCCCATGCACGACGAGGGAAGGGCGCTGAAGCACGCGGTGCGGCGGCGGCAGGTGTTTGCACGGGCACCCGCATCTCCGTCGAGCTGCGTCCGCGAAGGAGAAAGAAACAGGGAAACAACTAAGCAAGGAGGGGGAACTAACGGGAATGAAAAGAAAAAAAGTGATATCATACAAAAAAAGAAGAAGCAAGAACAACAAAACACTCATAAACAAAGGAGGAAAGAAAGAAAAAGGGGGAAGGAAAGAAAACTTTTCTCCCCTCCCCGTCAAAAGAAGAAAAACCCAGAGAGATGCGCGTGCAGCATCACAAAATAAGAAGAAGAAAAATTAGCTGAGAGGGGAGCCATTTTCCCCCTCCATTGGCAATGCAAATAAACACCCCTCAACTGCGGACGCGGAAGAGATATGGTGGATGCGAAAGAAATTCTATTTTTCGACAACGCGCTCGCCTCCCCTTTTGCTTTATTATTTATTGCACCCCCCGCTGCAGAGCTCCTCGACCCCCCTCCGCCTCCTCCGTTTAAGCTTTCGTCTGTCCCCGTGTATTCATTGCAAGAGCACACACATATATGTCACAAGTGTGCTTTTGTGCATGTGCAACGGCACCTCCGCCCTTCCCAGGGCAAAGTTCCAGGTGCGAGGGAGGGCCGAAATCAGTTTCCCGACCACGCTCAATCTGACTCTGTGCCTAAAACGATTTCGGAGGCAGAGGTGCTGGCAGACCGCCTGGAGCGACCTCGGATTCAAGTGCTTCAAACTGAACGAGTTCTGGTTCTCCACTCGCGTGCAGAATAAGAATGGCCCCCTTGTTTCCCAAGCCACAATAATTGGGGGCAGAAAATAAAGTCAGAATACGGTTTTGATGCTGCCACTGATATCCTTCCTGAACACACTGATGTGCTCGGACAAGGAAGCTCAGTCTATTCTCACTCAAGAACTGCAGGGTCACGTCTTCTCCAAAGTTGTGCCCGCGACCACGCGCACTGAAGACGTAGCCCTTGGTTACAGAGGGAATCGGCGCTGGCACAGGATCATTGTAGTTGAAGGGCACACAGTGCCGCACTAACCGCTGCGCCTGCCGCCCCGCCCCCTCAGTGCAGTTCCCGTTACCTTCACTGGGTCCCTCGGAAGGCTCCGCGGTGATTGGGTCAGCCCAGGTAATATCGGCAAGGGGGCCATCTTCAATTTCACGGAATCGGTCAATCGCCAAGATGCCATCCAAGCTGTTTGAGACGAAGGGTGAGAGGCCCCCGTGCATGGCGCAGATTGCTACTCGTTCTCGGCAACTGGTAGACAAAGGATTCTTTGCCTTATCCGGGGTTGGGTTAGGGCCTGTCACGACGGCACAGAGCGGCAAACTAAGAAAGGCCTCATTTGCCAAGACCCAGATAGGATGCTCTGGTAGGCCCCACTCGAGGTCGACTGACTCCCTGTCACTTTCATTGTCCCCGGAGGAGAGCGGGTAATGCTCAAAACACTCTTGCAGAAACCCGTATTTGCTATTGGTCTCACTGCTTTCGTGGTTGCCGCGTAGCAGAAAGACGCGGTCCGGAGCCAACAGTTTGGAAGCAAAGAGAAGCGTCAGGCAGTGCAAACTATGTGGGCCACGATCCACATAATCACCAAGGAACAAGTAATTCCGCCTTCCAACCACCTCCACGTCTTCCTCCTCTGGATGTGTGGCTGTGTGCTTGTCCACGTCCAATGGACCTCCAGCAGCAATAATACTATCCACCAGGTCCCGCCACTGCCCATGTATGTCACCAACTACGATGCATGGTATAGACAGCGTCACTATGTTGCTTTCCTCCCTAAGCAGCTTCGTGGTACGGGAGATGAGCTCTCCCATCTCCTCCAGGGAAGGCAACTCATTCACAGTGATCAGCTGATGATATATTTTCGCCACACTAAAGTCGGCAGCGGGGGAAACCGGCTTTAACAGCATCGAACTGCCACTTGCTTGGGGTGGTTGAGCCTCATTGGCGGCCCCTCCACCCCGGAGGGCCTCTAAGAATCCCGTACCCCGCATTATCTCTTCATTCTCCAGCTCCAACTCCACAACGCCACAGAAACGTAGAACGGCGAGTGCCAACCGTGTCCGTACCGGCGGGGGTTCCTTCAGCAATCGTTGTACAAACGCCAGCTGTCCAATCGCGGGGTCGACGGTGTTAACCGCAAACTCTTTCTGTATCATCTCCGAGGCGATGGACTTCAGTGAGGTAACGAATTGCTTCTTGGATGTAAAATCGGGAAACTCGCAAAGGAGTTCACGGAAGTCACGGCTCAGAGAGATAATATCACTCAAGGGCAACTCTGTGACTTCTGCTATGCAGCAGTTGTCTAGCCCTCCATGGCGCTCCAGTGAAAGACGCACGTTGATCGTATTCTCCAAACCTGCCTCCCCGTTCCCATTCCTCCTCGCTCGTTCCTCAGCTGACGCGGCGTCTTTCTCCTTTTGCTTTTTCTTCTTATCCCACTTGGGGAAGAATTTCATCACGGCGGGGAGGCCGCAAAGGCAACCGTGTATGGGGGACAGCGGGGCTCCCCTCTCCCTCTCCGTCGCCCGCTCACACACGTCTCCCGGTAGCCACCAGCAATAATATATATGTATTGTATTATATTATATCTTTATATATATATACGTGTGCTTGCGTACACAGGCTGCGGCTAGTGCGACAGTCCTCTTACTAAGTGCGCGTGCGTATGCGCCCCCCTCGGCCCCTCCTCCTCCTCCTCCTCCCTTTTTTGTTTTCTATCTTATTTCTATCGTTTTTTTTATTCTCTCTCCCTCACTCTTCCGCTTTCCTTCAAAGTTGCGCACAGCACGCAGTGGTCCTACCTACGCTCCAGACCTGCCATGGACGGGAGGCGCAGCAACAGAGGAAGGGCGGAAAGAACACATAAAAAAAAAAGGAAAGGAGGAGGGATGTACGGAAACGGCACAATAATTTTTCTTTAAAAAAAGAAGCAAAAAGGGGTGTAAGAAGTTGACTCACCACACTGCTTTCCTCTACCTCACCTGTACGGGTGCACAGACACGCACTCGCACGCACACAGAGAGGGAAAAGTAAAGTAAACCCAAGTCTGTAACTAATACAGGTCGTCGTGCAGTGCCCACAACGTCCCCCTCATCTTATTGTGCTCGAAATAAGGACCCTTCCACCGCCCCATCACGGAAAAATAAACGTTCTACACACCCTAGAAACTAGTGGGCTGTGCTCGACGGCCGCATCAAGATTTTGCAGCGGAAACAGCCGGGGCCACCGCCAAGGCCGTCCCCCGTGCAGCTTCGCGCTTGCGCCGCTGGATGTTGGCACGGTCGCTTTCTTGGCCCATCCACACAACACCACACCACGTCACAAGGAAGCCGCAGAGCAGCACCAGAGACGACTGTGCCGTGCTAGGGTATACCTCAAACCCGTACTGCACCGCCACAACCGCGGCAATCTGAAGCGGGAAGGGCAACCGTGTCGCGGACAGCACCATTGGCATTGAGTGGAAGAACCACACCAAGAACTGGTAGTGAAGGGAACGCGCAAATATGACCCCAATCAGGTTGGACTCCATCATGGTCAGGACAATGTTACGATACACCTCGTCGTCTGAGACACGCACATCAACCTCTCGGACCCCCCCACGCCCAACGCTTTTCAGGGTTATCGCCTGGGCGCGCAGGAAGCGGCGTCCTGACCACCGCCTACGCCAGAGCAGAAGCCAACTCAATACGGTGAGGAGCAACAAAACCTGGCCGAACTCTCGCGACACGAACACCTCTTCAGGGATACACTTGAAGTTAACAGTCCAACGGTACGTAAATACGCGTCCTAGTTCAAAGGCCTTTAGCATGTACCCCTGCGGCTCCCACAAAAGAAACGGGAGCGCCACCCCCACTTGCCACAGGGCACATACAGCAAGGCACGAAATAACACTGTACCACGGAAGTGATCGGCAGAGAATCAACAGTAGCCCCGGAGCAAATAGAAGGATATTCATCTTTACAGACACGGCTATGCTGTAAAGCAAGCATCCAAGCTTCCACCGACGCCCACCGGCGAGTGCGACAACGGCAAAATACAAGAGTAATACGGCCCAACAATCGTTAAAAAGACGCAGTAGAAAAAGTGACCGGATACGCTTCGAAAGAAGAAGGCGAATAAGCAGACGCCCACGAACCTTACACCGGACGTACAACTGAGCGACCATGGCAAAAAGCATGATGTACATTCCTGCATACAACCACTGGGCCATCGCAATGTCCTTTCCCTCCTTAGTGATAAAGTAAAGAGCACTGTATGTCCACACGAAACCGCCTGGGTAAACGAGAGGTCCTGTATCGCCCCTAAGTTTCCTGTAATCAAGCTCACCTCCAAGAAATCCCTTGACCTCTTGCATATAGGCATTCCAATCAATTTCCGTATACTGCACAAATAAAACCACACCCAGTGAGATGCAAACCTCTGCGGCAAGAAGCGTGTTGACCCATCCGTACCCCATCTTTCCTTTCTTCTCTTTATTGTTTGCCACCCACCACACGTTTTTTTTTATTCTCTCTGCTTTCTTTCCTTTTAGTTGCGGTCCCCACTATTTGTAGCTGGACGCTAAATAAATATTCCGCCGATTCCACTGCACCCTGCAATTCCCTCATGCGCCATAAACGAAAAGAACATCAACAACAACAGCAGCAACAACAACAAAGACGATGGAGCGTCAGAGACGTAAAGCAAAGAGCAAGAATACATCCAACACAATACACACATATGCATGTGTGCCTCCTTTTATTTATTTATTTTTTTTTTTTCTTGGTGGTGGGTCTAAGCTGTTCACCCACCCACTTACGCCTGCAACGTTGTGAAACGCTTGAGGAAAGGCATCCACCACCGCCGCCACCACCCCATTCACTCCACTCCA